GTCAACGCTCTCTGGTTTCATTTAAAAGAGTCGATCATCAGATATTGTCCAAGATTAACCTTCAGGGTGGATATAGCTCGCTAGCAGCCTCTCACAGATGACCTAGTTGACATCATAATTTACCCAGAATGCTTTGCGTGTAAACAAAATGGCCCCGTCCGTGTAATATATTTTTAAAACTTTCGTTTAAAAATGATAAAAACTAAACATCCTACAGTATTTTTACAGTTTTTATTTTACAGTTACAATATAAGTTTATCAAATAAAGTCTAATGTTACAACTAATCGGGGATCCCTTTAAAACAGTTGCGCTGTGCAGAAACATTTTGTAGGAGATGCTGCGTCACAATTCTATCATACTGAAGTTTGTGATACATATGTAAATGTATTTCATGTTAACATTACAGATGATGATAACAAAGTATTTCTGAATACAAACTCAGCTATTACCTTGGTGCGTTCTGCTCTTATGTGTTCATCAACGCTCCTAATGTGCTTTAAGTGCAGGGCCAGAAACCTGTGAGGTTGCAGAGACTTACCACTGTTTAGTTCTGTTTTCATGTCATGTGACCCATGTTGTGGTTATGTTAGCAGCTCATTTTCCTCCTTTTATTTCTGCAAGACTTCCTGTCCATCATATGAGCAACACACGCCACTCTGAACTAGTATTTCCTGAAAGTATGTTCTCTGCAGAACCTGCAACCTCCCCTCATTCATCAGATTAAACACATACTGTATTGGGTCAGCTAAGCCAGGTTATTTTTTAGTGAATGTCTGTGCTCTTCCCCCTCAATCAAGACAATCAAACACCAAATTAAACCTTTTATAATTTGAGTTATTTTAGCAGGTTTTTCTTTTACTTCCTACTTTCTTTTCTTTCTTTTTTTACATGTCCTGAACATCTCCTGARCAGCTGATATTCATCCATACGTTACTACAGATGTAAGCTGAACGTAGTGAATCGTTAGTACTGCCATGAAGGCTGTTCCTGTGCAAGTGAAAGTGTGCGTTTCCATTTGTACAGCGCCGAGCTCTGTCAAACAGCAGGGCCCTCCTCTCTCTAAACTTCTGTAATGAGGAAGTTCAGAGAAGAGCTAAGAGCTGCTTCCTTTAACACAGAATGATCACGATCTGACTTCTGCGTCTGCGCTCGTCAACCATGAAAACAGACATATAGAAAAAGGACTCTCTCTGTGTGTTGGCTGGATTTTATTTGGCTTTATTTTGTTTTTGAGAGCAGATGCTAAACACTCGAGCTGAGGCTCTTTAGGTGATTGACAGGATGCCAGGTTGTCAGCCTTGGTACCATGATAATATAACACGATCCAAAGCTGAGGATTTACTCTCTAAGGCAGCGAGAGATGGAAGCTTCCTTATCCGGGACAGCGAGTCTGTACAGGGAGCGTATGCCCTCTGTGTCCTGTGAGTATCTTTTATTTAACTATTACACTTGTATCTAAAAGTTACTTTTAATACGATGCCCTAAAGCTGATAAAGATTCACTGAAACCTTCATAAAATAAAATATATCCTGTCTAAAGAATGTGGCTTTTATTCTGGATATAACATAATTACTGTTAAAATAGTCCTGCTGTCTTTCACTGTTTCACATCACATCTTGATTTTTAATAATCTTTTCCTGTTAAAAAAAATMTTTTGCACGCACACACACACACACAACACAAAACACTAGTTCCCCTTTATTTGCATAGTGTTGCTGAGCAGCACCGCCCTTTGCCCTCTGCATCTCTCTGCTCTGCAGCTTTCACAGAGGACACCTTCATCCCAACGTGTAGCCGAAGGCTGTTCTGATTGCACATTCAGCACGCGCCWTACAGTTTCCTATTCCTCACTCTGCATTTCATCCCAGTGACAAACATTTGCATTTYATTGCTGACGACAGGTACCAGAACTGCGTGTACACGTACAGAATCCTGCCCAACGATGACAAAAAGCTCTCTGTTCAGGTGAGTGAACCGGTTAGAACAGAGCCACAAACCGGCGAAAGGTCCGAGGACCTATTTTGGGTAACGTGAGTCAACGCTGCRACGACAAAAATACATCCTGCTGTCAAAGCTTCGTGTAAAAGTGTGTCCGTTTGGGGTTAAAATCAAATCTTTTTAAGCTCCTAAAAAAAGCCACAGATTGTAMGGCTGCAACGTTTTTATAGAAGTGCAGTCGTTTGGTTTTCTGCGAGAACAATGTCATGATGGAGACTGTGATGAAAAGTGAAACAAAGCTTTGTTCAAACAAAAAAAAAACACGACTAACTGCTGAAATTTGCTGAAGAAGCTAAATCTGAGTTGTTATAAAGCTCAAAGAATCAGAACAGTGTTGGCGAATGAGGTTAGAGAAGGTGAGCCTGTGATCGGAAGGTCTTCGGTTCACCTCGCCCTTGAGCAAGGCCCTCAGCTCCTCCCCGGGCACCTCAAAAATGGCAGCCCACTGCTCCACGTGTGTGCGCTGGGTAGAATTCATTTCCCCACCAGGGGATTAAAAATTATACATAAAAAAGTAGCAAAAGTTAGCCAAAAAACTTCAAGTACTATAAAGTAATCAAAGAGCTAAAAGTACTAAAAAGCTAACTAAATGGAGCAATAGGCTAGCTCTAAAAGCTAAAAAGATCTAAATACTAGCTAAAAGGAGCAACATACTAACTAAAACTAAAGGCTAGGTGCAAGCTAGAACAATCAAAATATCATCAAACTGAATTCTGAAAATTATAAAAATGACAAAAACAGACGTTTAAATGATCTGAACGTTTGGATTTACAAATGACTGAAATAACACAAAGTATGTAGAAATAATTAGGTTGCAAAAAAAGAAAAGAAACAACAATATGAATACTGAACAATATTCACATTGTAAAAYGGCTGTCAGAGCAGCAAAGTAATCAAACCATTAAACAAACCAAGAAACAAAATTTACTGCCAAAAACAAAAATGACTAAACGTGATGAACTGCAGGAAGTATGTATGCTTGTACACTGCCTGGCTTAAAAAAATAGTTGCCACATGGATTTAACTGAGCAAACAGGTACGAGCCTCCTATTGGATAATTACTGCATGGGTGGTTATCTTTCAGCAGCAAGTTAGTTAACCCCAAGTGGTGCAATGAGTTGCTTCTCATTTCCTAAACAACTACGTGGAAAAACTCATCCTGTGTTCGTGGAAAAGATGTCAGCCTGTTTGAGGAGGCTCAAATCATTGGCATCAAGCAGAGAAAACATTGGAGGAGATTGTAGCTACTTGAGTTAAAAACTGTCCAACGCATTATTAAAAACTGGAAGTATAGTGGGGACATATTGTCTTTGAGGATGCACCCATCAGTGGTTACTGTGCAGCCTGTGGGGGCAGGGCTATGAYCTGGGGTTGCTGCAGTTGGTCAGGTCTAGGAAGCTCATCCAAACAATGCTGCAGTGAATGTGTGTAATCAAAGATAAAGAAGGTCCAATGAAATATTAGAGTSTGACCTTATTGTTTGGCCAGTCAGTGTGTGTGTCTGTGTGTATGTATGTATATTTTTATGTAGTCATGTACAGTATGCATGTATGTATGTGTGTTTGTATGTACTGTATGTATTGTACAGTATGTATGTAGAGTAAAGATTAAGGGACTTAAAATGTATGTTAGCAAGAATTTTGAAAAGATCCCAATTTTGTATTTTTAAAAAATTTCATCTTATTTGTGGCTTTTGTGTTCACCGTATAATGTACGGCTACTAAAAGTCATATCATTTTTAAAATGTAAGTTAGTAAAAGTTATCAATCTAAGGAAGGAAGGCAGCAGAGTGTGTCTCACTCATGTTTGTAAAACACACAAAAAAAATACAACAGAATTAGAGGAAAACAGCTAAACTGTTGGAAGGTTTTAATGGTTACACACTGRCACCCTTAATTATATTTATATTGACCAAAATACTGTTAATGATAAAGAATAAATACACCTCTTCCCTTTATTTTAGCTGGATGCATGGTAAAAGTCATATTTTTAAATYTACATAAGGTAAATTTTGGTTAAAGGGAGTTATTATGCGTAATCAGTGTCTTACCTGAGGTAGACATCATTTAATTTAGAAAATCAGGAGTCTAAAACGACTCGAACCATRAAATGAATGTTTTATTGTAAATATAGACACCGCATGATATTAAAATATATTTTTACACTAACGTCTGATTGTTGCTCTCGTGTGATTCTGCTCATGTGAAGTTCATCTAATCCTAATTAACTTCACTCTTCTTACAACTCCACCTCAAAATGGACACATTATTGCAACATAAAGATGTATATTTCTTGAAGGTGCCAGAGTTTTAGAAGTAAGATAATTTTATATTGAAAAACTTGCAGTTTGTGATTCACTTTCAGAGAGGTTTATTTAAACCCATCTTGTAGCTCATCCGGTAGTTTGGTAGCAAAAATATAATGAGATTCAGTGGGGAAAATACATCATGTTTTATATTACTGGGTTGCAGATGATGTAGTATCGATGTCATGAAATGCAGATGGGGGCAAGAAGTAAATGAAGCCATGTTTCCTTCTGTTGAGTCAGTGTCAAAATGCCTAAATTCTGTGCTGTGTACAGCTGTTGAAGCCGCTCTAATCAGGAGAGATATCAACGTTTTTTTCATGTTCTGAAAGTAGTGTGTCACAAGGGAGTTACATTTTAAATACTTGCAGAAAAAATAGGACAAAGGTGGATCAACTATCTACAGGCAAAAACAGGAGGCAYGGAAATGAACAACAGTTTGCAGTGACCACTTTCTAACGGGTCAGGATTGTATTGTTGAAATCATATTGTCAGATATTTTCCTGGATAGTTACTTGAATTTGGGTTTACAGAAGCTAAATAAATTATTTGCGAATAGATCCAAGCACATAGAAATAACAGGAGTTAACTTGTTGTTAGCGATAGCATTGTTAGGCTAACTACTTAAAATAGCACAAATCACCCAGGCAGMAACAAGTCAACATTTAAAGTTTCTTTGGATCCTAAATTTTTGACCCAACTTGAAACTAAACACTTGTAGCTTTGAGGCTTTTGAAAGCTTTAAACTGGCTTGTCGTAGCCTGTAACATGAGGTCTGCAGCACCAGATAGTAGTTTATGTTGATCACCTCAACACCGAGTAAATCCTTTTGATTATATAACAAGTCTTTTTTTATTCAAATAATATGTGTCATATCCTTAATGTACGCATATTTTTTTGCAATATCTTGTCTGCGCCAGCCCATTTAAGGCATTAGCGTACTCTCTGTGATCCATTCTGCTGTGTTTTGAATCAGAGCAAATCACTTCCTGCCCCCMCATCTGACATTCACGCATCATCCCGGTCATGTGACTTCAACCCAGCAATTCTTTCTCTACAGCAGGGGTGCCCAAACATTTTCCGCGAGGGGGCCAAAATGAAAATCTATCCGCGGCTGTGGGCCAAGTGCAGTAATATAATACATGAAATACAAATTTTTTTAAAGGAAAGTCCTTTATTTTTAACAATCAAGCTRTGCAATGGCCCTCTTTTGTTTTAGTTTGTGCACTTGGAGAAAGTCTGCCATACGCTCAAGTAGCAAAGGCTCATGGAACATATCATAAAATGATAAAATATGAGTTTTTATGGCCTTATAATGTGTGAAATTCTACATGTGGGGTTAAATCTGATCTAAATATTTCTTGTCATTTCATGTTTCATGTTTAATCCTAATAAATCAAAGATAAAGTCAGCACCATGAAAGAAAACTACCTTCACTACAGCCCTTTATACAAAGTCATTTGACCAATGGAAACACTGTTTTTCTACATAGGATAACAGGTTACAACCTTGTAACTTTGGCAACTGTAAGTGGGCCAAATCAAATGGCTTGGCGGGTCAAATTTGGCCCGCGGGCCCCACTTTGGGCTCCTCTGCTCTACAGAAAGACCAGGAAAGTATACTTGGCACAAAAAGTCAGTAAATTAGTGTTTGGAAGATTATTTTTTTGTTGTAACAATGATTCTTGGTAATAAATCTTATAGCTGCACCTGACTGGCAGCACCTGTTAATAACAAGTTAATAATAACAAAATAAGATGTTTCACAGAGAAGATTTGGTTAACTTTTCATATGCACAACCCACATACTCAGCTTTACTGCTCATCCCACACATGCATGTTCCTTACAAATGTGACACCAATTAAAATATAAATTAACAGGTTATCCTACGCTACTAGATTCATTGCAAAGAAGTATTGTTACAACAAAGAAATAGTCTACTAAACACTATTTTTCTTACTTTTTGTGCTAAGATTTTACATGAGTATAAACATTGCAACTTTATATACAAAATTTTAAACCAGCTGATTAATGAATGAGAYGGGAAATTTGGAGCTTTGCCATAATTTTATTAGCCATTATAAAAACAAGAGTGACCGCAGTGAGCTGATAAATTGGTTTTATATGTATTACCTGTGTCGTATAGCTGAGTTGTAAAAAGTCATTTTCCCACAGCATCACTCAGCTAGCAGAAAAGCTAAAGGTGACTAAAAGTTTCAGATTTGATTTATTTATCTTGTCACATTTTGGATGCTATTCATTTTTTAATAGATTTTATTTATTTGCATCAAGTCCAGGTTGATATAAATGAAGCTTGTGGCCTGAATTACACAGCTTAGAGTTCAAATTGGAGTAAAAATAAAAAGACTAATGTGACCTTTTCTATTTTTAAGTTTTACAGTAACGATTCCAAACGACAAATTCTGCCTTGCAGTAAATTACTTCTTGTCTTACCACCAGTTTACATTGTACACAACGCTGGTCTGGTGCAAACCACAGAGGTTCTCTGAGAAAGCATGCAAGCAAGGAAAGGAAAGAGTGTGCAATAAAGCCAGTAATAAATATGCAAATCAGACCGAATGAGTTAATTCTGTGCAAGATGGACTCAAAACATCATTTAAAACTGTATCGCTGTTGTTGACAGCATTTAAATTTATGAAAGTACACACACACACACACACACACAC